TCATGATAACAGTGCTAATGCTTCATGCTAACAGTGCTAATGCTTCAAGATAACAGTGCTAATGCTTCATGCTAACAGTGCTAATGCTTCATACTAACAGCGCTAATGATTCATGCTAACAATGCTAATGCTTCATGCTAACAGTGCTAATGTGATCTTCTTCCGTACGTATTTCAGCATCTTTCGCATCCCACAATTTTTGTGCTATTTCAACAATCGTAAATCAAAGCTCTTTCAGGACAATCCTGCTATGGGTTTTGGTGCAACTTTAGCTTTTTGAAATATTTAGCTTGTTCTGCCATTTTTCCTCATAGAAAATTAATTTTGTTCATTTTACCTCCTTCAAATCTTTAGATGTGTTTACAGCCTTCTACTGCTCCTTTCACATTTTGTTCTGCTTCAGATTCTTTCAGCTTCCTTGTGCAAATTTAAACAAAATTTCAGCTACTTTCAGCTGTTTTTTCAGCTGTTTTGTGCTCCTATCAGATTCTTTCTGATAACTACAACATTTTTGTGCTTCTTCTAATTTCTTTCTGCTCCTTTCAGCTTATTTATGCAAGTATAAACTTTTTCTACTATTTCAGCTATTATTTAGCTGTTTTATGCTAATTTTAGCTTGTTCAGCCAATTCCACATTTTTTGCAATAAGTTCAACATTTTTCAGCCTAATTAAAAAAAAACATACTCTATCTACTTCCTTCTAAAAATTTAAGCTTCTTTTGACTTTTTAGATACTTTTCAGCTGTTTTTGTTGTTGTTTTTGTTGTTGCTAATTTCAGCGTTTTTCAGATAATTTCCACTTTTGTGCTCATTTCTGCTTCTTTCAGCCTTATTGGACAAACATGTTTTCTTTCTTCTGCTAATTTAAGCTTGTTCTAACTTTTCAGCTAACTTTTTAGCATTTTTAGCTAATTGTAGCTGTTTTCAGAGAAATTTAAGTTTTTCATGTTAATTTCTGCTACTTTCAATCTAATTAGTTTATTTGTGCTAATTTCAGCTTGTTCTGCTCGTTTAAGCTTATTTATGCAAGTTTAAACTTTTTCTACTATTTCAGCTATTATTTTATGGTAAGTTTAGCTTGTTCAGCCAATTCCACATTTTTTTGCAATAAGTTCAACATTTTTCAGACTAATTCAGAAAAACATGCTCTCTCCACTTCCTTCTAAATATGTAAGCTTCTTTTGACGTTTTAGCTACTTTTCAGCTGTTTTTTTGTTGTTGTTGCTAATTTCAGCTCTTTTCAGATAATTTCCACTTTTTGTGCTCTTTTCTGCTTCTTTAACCTAATTGGAGAAACATGTTTTCTTTCTTCTGCTAATTTAAGCTTGTTCTAACTTTTCAGCTAACTTTTTTGCATTTTTAGCTAGTTTCAGCTGTTTTCTGAAAGTCGCAACTTTTTCTGCTCTTTCAGCTCATATTTAGCTCTTTTGATGCTAACTTTAGCTTTTTCAGCTAATTCCACATTTTTTGAGCTCGTTTCAGTTCTTTCCACTTCCATCTGGTAGTTTAAGCTTCTTTCTGCCTTCTCATTTAGTTTTTAGCTATTTTGTGTGCTACTTTCAGCTTTTTAGCTGGTTTCCTAATTTTTGTGTTTATTTCTGCTTATTTAAACCCAATTCAGCAAATACGTGTTCTTTCTTTTGTTAATTTAGGCTTGCTCTTTCATTTCAGAATGTTTTTTTTTTTTATAGCTAATTTCAGCTGTTTTTCAGGAAGTTCATCTTCATTAAGCTACAATGCAACTTTTCAAGTTTCAGCCTATTTTTACTTCGACTGTGTCTTTTTTTTATTATTTCCAGGTCACAGACATGATGCAGAAAGCGCTCTTTGACTTTCTGAAACATAAGTTTGAGGGCAGGTAAGAGTTCATCTTGTTTATGAGCTTTAAGGTGTTCGCTCTTTTTTGTCCTCCGCTGCACAGAGAAGAGGGGATTTAAAAATACTCTGCCTGTCGTTCCGTCTTATAATCTTGATAACTTGAAAAATAATACTGACGTTCATTTGGTGTGTGGCTGAATCTCAGAATAATAAAGGTCCCAGCTGAAAACTGTGTGGCCACATTAAAATCCAAGATGGCTGCCACCAAATATCTTGTTCTGGATTTGTGTCTTTCAGGATTTCCATCACACGCGTGACGGCCGACATCTCTCTGGCCAAGCGCTCGGTCCTCAACAACCCCAGCAAACACACCATCATCGAGCGCTCCAGCACGCGCTCCAGCCTGGGTGAGGAGCAGCTGCTTTCACGAGCACAACTTTTAAAACATCTGTTTAACTTGCTCAGTACGGTGTGGAGGGAGGAGGAAACGTTCCCGGTCGTTGTGATTTTGTCGCTGAACATTTTTCACTTTGTGTTTCACGTCTGCGTCTTTGTTTTATTTAGTTCAGTCTTTGTCAACTGAACTCAAAACAGCCGTTTTTTACTTGAACTGCAAAAAGAAGTTTAATGAGCAACAGCTTAAAAATCAGCAGCGTCTCGGAGTCAGGATGTGGAGCAGCAGCGAGGTTCAAACGAGACGCCACACGTGAAGTTTTTCTTACACGTTGCACGTTTTGCCACAAAGCCGTCTTTGGTGTACACATCTTCTTGAAATTAAAAGTTAAATCTAAACGGTAAATATTCAATCAACTCCTCGAAGTCCAGGGTCATGGTTCTCGACTGGAAACAGGTGAAACGCTGCGGGGGCAGTTTTTTGACTCGGGTGGAGGAGTTCATGGATCCGAGTGCCTCGTCCTCAGTAATGAGGCAGTTGCTTCGGTTGTGGTGAAGAAAGAGCTGAGTCGAAAAGGCAAAGCTCTGGATTTACTGCTCTCTCTATGTTCCAACCCTCACCTGTGGTCACGAGGTTTGGATCAAGACCGAACAAGCAGCCGAAGTGAGCTTCCTTCATCAGGTGGCCAGGCTCAGCCTTAGAGACGGGGTGAGGAGCTCCATCATCCGGGGGAGCTCGGAGTCGAGCTGCTGCTCCTCCCTTTGGAGTTTTAGGCATGTCGCACTTGGAAGAGACCCCGAGACCAACCCAGTGCACTCTGGAGGGATTATATATATTCTAAGTATTATATATATATATTACATATATTATATATATTATATATATTATTCAGCCCCACCACAGATGAAAGAAAAATAGAGATTTAACCTGTTGGCCAAAAAAAAAAATCACAGCCCCCCTTTATCTTGTAATTTATTTTTTTGTTTTTTGGAACGGTACAGAAGTTTGATTTTTGCCTCCTAATCTGTTTTTGAGACAAACAAAGTTAAGTCAGGTCCTCTGGACGATTTCCTTTTTGTTGAGACGTTTCGTCTTTTCATCCAAAGGACTTCATCAATCCGAGGAGCCACAACAAACTCAGTCTTATAATCAGCACCTTCACATAGTGGACCAACCAGTTTGATGGTGATCAGATGGTTTCTGGAGTCCACCCTCTCCCCTGTCGACTCGTCTGAGGCCGCCGTGACCAAAGTGGTTCAAAACATCTAAGTTCATGCTCAGTCATCCAGGTACAAAACAAAAAAAGAAACCATCCAGAGGACATGACTGAACTTTGTTGGATTTTTTTACCTGGATTATTGAGCTTGAACTTTGATGGTTTTCAGTCCGTTTCCCTGATCGTGGACCGGGGCCTCGCAGGCTTCCAACGTGCACCGTGACTCGTTTTCACTTAAACAACCAGGAAGAAGAATCAAAAACAAAATGAAGGCAGGTAAAAGTGCCTGTGTGTAATATACATCCATAACGTGGTGCACGGGAGTCGTTCTTTGACGTGAGCGGTCCGTAACACCTGCGGCTGTGAAACTCTGCAGCCAGGTGAGAAGGAAGTGTTGGGACTTCCTGCACGTGGACGCAACACGACGTCGGTCGTTCTTGAAGCGTCGCTGTGCCTCGTCTTTTATTCCAGCTCTGAATGAGTCTGATCTGGCATCCTCTCTTTTTTTTTTTCTTCCATCCTGTCATTCCTGCCCTCCACCCATCCTCCTCCTCCTCCTCTGTCTTTTGATTCAGACGTACTGGGTACGTATGCTCTGCTCGCAACAAAACACTGAAGCCTCTCCCGCCTCCCCTCTCCTCCCCCCTTTTCTTTCTTCTAACTATATTCATCCTCTGCTCGTGCTCCGCTTGTCTGCCTGTCTGCTTGCCTGTCAGTTTCTCTGTTCCTCATACTTCTGTGTGACAGCCTGCAGTCACGTACAAAAACAAAAGGAGCGCAAGAACCCCGAGCGGGAGGAGATCCGTCAAAGAGCGGGAACTACCCAGCAGAGGGAACCTTAACGTTCAGCCTTAACGTTCAACCCGGTAAAACGTAAATTAAAACAGCAATTTGCAAATCTCTTCAACTCATAGAAGGTAATTTTGAATTTTATGAGCAGCACATCTCCAGAAAGACGAGGCAGGGCCGTGTTCACCTCTGTGAAGCGTCCTCTCTTCGTTAAACAATCATCTGTAAAGGTCCAGGACCCGAACAGACCAGTTTCTTGTCCCGTTCTGGTCTGAGGGAGGACTAGCTGTTTAACAAGTACGGGAGCAGATGTTCTAAACTCTGTATCAACTTTTCTGCATTGACGGTGCCTTTCCAGATGTTTAAGCTGCCCCGGCCACTAATGCACCCCTATAACATCAGAGAGGCTGTTTTTTGAGCTGCACGCTGTTATCAGGGTAAACGGTCCATCTGTGCGAAAGAGGTGGTGTCGGTGGTGTTCAAAAATAATTTCTGACTTTGATCTGAGCTCAGAACAGTTCTCCGCTTCGCCTCAGTCCATTTAAATCTGTTTTGGTCCAGAGAAGACGGCAGCGGTTCTGGATGGTGGCGTCGTCTTTGTACGATAGAGCTTTAACCGGCATTTACGAACGTCACGGTGAACTGTGCTTACGGACAACGATTTTGTGGAAGTGTTCCTGAGCCCACGCAGCCATGTCCAGAACAGAACCAGACCTGTTTTTAATGCAGTGGCCCCCCGAGGGTCCAAGGTCACGACCATCCAATGTTGACTTTCAGTTTCGTCCTTTAAGCTCAGATTTCCACAGATTAAAAAGATATATATATTTTGATGATGTTACAAAATGTAGATGGTGAGATACTTAAAGTTTATTTTGTTGTGGAACTTTATTCTGAAACTGTTCCAAAAGTTTTAAGCCCAGATTTTCACAGACTGGTGAACCTCTTTTTAAACCCAGTCCTCTTCCTGACCTGCCGCCTGTTTCTTATTCGAACCACTTTCACATAGGCCTGTCACGATAACACATTCTGCTGGGCGATTAATTGTCTCAGAAATTATTGCGATAAACGATAATATTGTTTGAAATTTGACAATAATTAGTAATTATTGTCAAATTTAAGAAGAAATGTGTTAATTTGGTTTAAGTTTAGTACCTTTTTTGACCACTAGATGGCAGTTATAAGACTCTTTGAACCGAAGGATGGATGGTGAGCAAGCAGCGTGTCTCTTTAAGAAAAAATGGGAGGGCGGCCCCTTGACGTGACATGGGCTGTCTCTCCTGTTTTCCAGTCCTCAAAATGGCGGATGCTCGGTGTGGTTTGAGCTCTTTAGCATTTTTCACACAAAGCTTTTAATAAAAAAAATCAGTAAACAAGTTCTCAGCTTCTTTTTGCAGAGAAGACAACTTTTTGCACGAAGGCACGAGTTTTAACCGTGAATTTTGTTCCCCCCCCCCCCCCCCCCCCCAGGTCTTCCTGTTAGCTTAGCTCGTAGCTTAGCTTCTTTTAACGATCCAAAAACGTGATTTTGGATCGTTAAACAGATTTTAAAGAGAAAAGAGAAAGGAAGGGGTCAGTGAAGAACCGGAGTTGAGCTTTTTGTCATCCAGTGTCT